GCCCAGCGACACAGTGCAGATGGAATTTGCAAAGCTGTGCAACTGAGTCAGAATTTTGACTGATTTTTATAGTTCATGTATGATTAGCTCATTGATCATTAAGTACATAGCTATGAGAAACAGAAACAAGGTGGGCCTTTGTTTCTTTTGCTTGAGGTAAGAGGCATTTCACAGTGGATGGTTAGCCAGTTCATAGCCCTTGGTCTGCCAGTTCCAGGAACATTTGTCTCTCATAAAGGGAACAATGGTTGACACAACATCATTTGTCTCTTACAAGGGGAACAAAAGTTGACATAGCACACAGGTTAGTTGGTGGGGGCGATGCATACAGAACAGCATATCACGCGGTCAGTTAATCTATAACTATGTGGTTGGTGCTTGGTTACTAAGGTAACGAGCTCAGTACAGAATGACAATACTGCTAATAACTATCCTTTTAACTATTTTTGCTAATTATCTTTTAATCAATTATTTTAATTTTTCAGCATCTTAGTATAACATTCTACTAAGTCTGGGTGGGGTTAATATTTCACTTTTTTAATCCACCTGAAATTTGCTGTATATAAAAGGTAGCTTCACATAAACAGTGCATTAATTGATTGATTAAATTTTCTTTGTGGTTTTGGGTATTGAACCTGGAGCCTTTGCACTGAGCTATATCTCCAACCCTTTTAAATACTTTTTTAAAATTTTGATTCAGGATCTTTGCTGAACCACTGAGTAGCCTGGGCTGAATCCAAACTTGTGATCTTCCTGTTTTAGCCTCCCAGAGTGCTGAAATTATAGGCATGTGTCACAACTCCCAGCTTTAATTTACTTCTCATGTGAAATACCATTGCCCCAGTGCCAGTTACTGAATAAACTGTTCTTTCCTCTTGATATCACATGTCACCTTTGTTCTGTAAGGAAGTCTGTAAAAGACTCCTCAGCGTCTGCAATAAAAACAAAGAAAAACTGTCTGGTTAGATCACATTCTTTCAGGTTTGCTGATTCTTTTATTGGCTTGATCTATTTTACAACTTCCTAAGTTGCAGATAACCAATAGCGACTTGGGATAGTTCTTGTCTAGAAACATGTAAAAATTCTGTCTGGCAGAGGTTCAATGAAATCTTCTCTCCCTCTGCAGAAGCCAACTTGCATGTTCTTTCATTATGCCCATTCTATCCATGTGTCCATTCCATGCATTGACTTTTGAATTGGTTTGAAAACTTCACGAATTCTTTCATTATTAAGGAGTCAGTGTTATGACTTGTGTCTAGATGTCCCCCCAAAGCCTCAGACAGTCTTGAGTGGGGCTTTCTCAGAGGTGGCTGGATACAGAGTGTGTGATGATAGGATTTTAAGTGTGTGTGATTACTAAATCAGTCTCTTAATTGATTTGGCACTTCCCTAATTCCAGTGGAATTTTCCTAATTCCAGATTGAATATAAAAGGGGCAGAAAGACACTGCTAAGGTCCCTTGCTTGCTTTGTTACCTTCTGCCCATCATGAACTGTTTCTCCTCTGTGATACCTGTCTGCCGTCTCACCCTCTCTTTGGAGCCAGGTGATTATAGACTGAAACCTCTACAAACTGTGAGCTGGTTAAATCTTTTCTCCCTTAACTTCGAACATTGCTTATTTTGTCTCAGCAATGAGAAAAATAACTAAGACAGCCAACTAAATATATTTAGTGTATATTGGCAGTATATTGGTATGGGAGCGACAGTTTTACTTTTTAAAAACTGATCATTTAACATATCAATGGCTTGGCATTAAGCAAGCGCAAAGTGATCAAGGTGGCAACCATCATTTGCTCAGAGCAGCTCTGCTCATGGGCTGTCACAGTAGCATCCAGTGTGCATGCGTTTTGACCAGTTTTTCAGCTCTCTGGCTGGTCAGAAAGAGAAAAGCCAGTGTGTCTTTCGTAGCCCAAGGGAAGTCTGCAACCTTGCAACCTTGTACTAACAGCATCACTGACACAGGGGGAGAGGGGGGATGCTGGCATGAAGGCTACTGACCAGAGTGAAAGGCAGGAAGGCTGCAGGGGCTCCTGCCAGCCAGCCAGCAGTCACATGGTAAGTACTTCCTGAGCGCCCACAATGTGCAGTGCTTGATGCCAAACGCAATTAGAAAATAAACATCTCTTCAGTCTGTGTATCGGCGGAGCTGGGACAAAATACCCACTTCCTACAATTTAAAGGAGGAGAGGTTTAATTTAGTTCATAGTTTTGGGGTTTTGGTCATAGTTATCTGGTTCTAAGGCAGAAACAGCATGGAAGAAAGGCCTGGCAGAGACAAGCTGATCAACTCATGGCAGCCAGGAAGTAGGACATGAACACACTCTTCTGGGTCAAGTCACCAGTGACCTGCCTCCTGCTCACACCGCTTTAGATGTGAGCTCAGCAGTGGATGATCTGCTGATCAGGTCGCCTTCCCAAGTCCCACCTCTAAACACAGTGAGACCTTTGGAGTCATTCTAAATTTCAACCTTAGCAGCTTGTTTTAAACTCGTTTCCTGATTTCAAAGGGAGGAAGAAATCACATGGCCGTATGCAGAGGTGTGATACGAACTACCACGACAGGCTGTGTCACAATATTTTGAAATGACACGCTATAAGGAATATGGTATTCTCATTAGAAACAAACAGCCCAAAAGGCAAGTTGCAATGTTGCCTCCTGTCTGACGTGGAGAGAAATGGGAGCTACGCCATCTAGAGAGCACACACCCTCGCCAATCCAGGCACAACTCGCAGATAGGAGCTGGCATCCTGCCTCGGCCCCATGTTCTGACACAGTCACCAGGGAGGGGACTGGTGAGTGGGACATTTGGCTTCCCTGCAGGGGAGAAGGTCCTTCAAAGGACTCCGGGGAAAGTCTTGGTATCATCTGTTTATAATGCAGGGCTTGGGGAGTCTGCTCATCTGGCAGACAACTTGATGACCAAAGTGAGACAGTCTCACTGTCGAGTGGCAACTGCCTGGGCAGTTCGGGCCCCTCGGAAGGGGGTTCTCCCAGGGACCACTACTAATATGAGAGCTGTGACAACTCATATATGAGCGGCTTGCTCGGGAAAGCAGCACCCAGACAGGCAGAAGGTCAAGCAATGAGTGTGACAGGCTTGGTGTGTCCCCCACGGTTCACACTCGGGATTCCCATGGCAACAGTGTTGGAGATGGGGCTTGGGACGCAGGCAGGCCCTGAAGAATTTGATGCATGAGTTCTAGCTCCCCTCAAAGAACAAAGAATGAACTTTGAGTACACAGCCCACAAGACTCACTGCAAACACCGCCTCACTGGGAAACTTTGATCAATTCTCGTTTCTTGAGTTTCCCCACTATTCTGTCTATTCCCTTAGCGTCGCTCTTACACGGGCTCTCTGTGTCACTGTCACGTGAGTAAGTGCCTCTTTTGCATTAAACCTCAGAGGCAAGTATGGTGTTGCATGCCTCCTGGCACGTGGCTTCATCTTGTCGTCTTTGCACCTTCCGGCCGGTGCCTGCCACGCGTTTGTGCTTCACACAAGGCCTCGCAGGGGACTGCACAGAAGTCCCCTGAGAGGCGGTTTAAAGCACTGATTTCCAGTGCTGGGGTGCTGCTTGGTGCCACTGTGACTGTACAGCGAGTTCCTGGCCTCAAGTCCCAGCAGCACAAAAACAAAACAATAGTGAGCCCTGCTCTCAGAGTCCGGCAGAATTCACCTGGCATGAGGCCGGGAATTGCCATTTTTAGAAAGTTCTTAGGTAGTCCCTGGGTAGCCAGGGCTGAGAACAACTGATCTAGTGTGTGAATTTCTATTGATTCCTTGATTTTCCTGGGAGGAATTCTCTAGCAAGAAAGGAAGGTTGTAGGTCTAGGTGTGGTAATTTTTTCTTTTTCTTTTTTGTTTTTTTGTCTTTTGACACAAGCTTTCACTCTGTAGTCCAGGCTGGCCTTGAACTCAAGGAGATCCTCTTGCCTTAGCCTCCCAAATGCTGGGATTATAGGCATGCAATGACCTGCATGGAAGATGTGGTAATTTAAAACTCAGCAGGAGACCCAGGCTCTGAGACTCAGGAACCTGTCTTGGGCCTGGCCTCCTACTGCAGGAGTGTGGGCTTCCCATTTGTTTTGGTTAAGATCTCAAATGTTCCCCTAAAGTCTCATGGGTTGAAAGGAGAGACTTTGGAAAGTGATCAGGTTGTGGGGGCACTGTACTCACAGTGGAGTCACTCACTGGTAAATTCATAGGTAACTGTGCAGTTCAAGGTGGGGCCTGGCTGGAAAAGGCAGATCACTTGAAGCATGACCAGGAAGGGCACATATCTGTTCCCAGCTCTTCCTCTTGCTCTCTGCTTCCTGGTTGCCATGAGGTGAGCAACTTTCTTCCTCGAGGCCCTTCTACCATGCACTTCCTGCCTTAGAATCAGCCAACCATAGACCTAATCCCTAAAACCGTGAGCCAAATTAAATGTCTCCCTCCAGTTGGGAGTGTCAAGTATTCTGCCCCAGCGACAGGAGAGCTGACTAATACACCCTGGTGATAGGAACAGCCCTGTGGGAACCTGAGCATGGGATGACCAGGCAGGCCTGGGCCTGCACCAAGCAGGGCTCTTCCTCTCTATTCTGAAGTGCTGCCCTTCTGAAGAGGAAGGCGTTAGGTCCCCACCTCTCCCTCACTGGGAACTCCAAGGGAGGTTTCCATCCCTGCCCTCCACTGGCTGTGGCTGTGTGACTTCTGCATTACATTACACAGTCCAGTACCGGGCATCTGTCTCTGGACACTGGTCTTCATGGACTGTCTTGTGTCTCTTTGTGGTTGCCCACAACTTTCTTTTAAGGCACCTTTAGTGTCTTGCTTCACCAACCACCCTGAAAGAGAGGAGCAACAGGACCAGAATTGGTTCTACAATTTCCACTATTTCCCTTGGAATCCTTGGAAGGAGAAAGGCCAGCAAACCCTCTTCCCTCCTTTCCCTGTTTTCTCCCATACCACCTAAGAGCTCCTCTCCGGAACTTTTCTGGAACTGTCTCCAACTGCCTCCTCAACGGCCAACTGCTGCCCCTCTCCTGTGCTCTAGTAGCTCTCCGATCGCCTCAGATCCTCAATACCAGCAGACCTTGACTGCTTTCAGGTCCAAGCTGTGGGGCATCCTGGAGGGAACCTTTCCCCCGACTTTTCCAGAAATCTGCCAGACATCTCATTTCCTCAGGGTCACCACTCAATAGTTCCTCCTCTGCTCTGGGTAAGTGAAAATGCACTTCTCCCTTGTCAATGTGAGGCAGAGGTTCTTCAAATGCTGAAGATGGCAATGGAGGGAGGAGAGGTTGGGTGAGTGGGGAGGAAGAAAAAGAGAGGGACAGACAGAGAGACAGACAGACAGGAATTTGGGCCTAGAGGGCTGACAGGAATTAGTGTTTCTTTTCCTTACTCTATTGTGACAGGAGCATGCTTCCTGGATTTCCAGTGTCTCTAAGAGCCAAATATTTCTCTAACTCCCTCTAGAAAGGGCTGTGTGGGATGAACTGCTGGGGCCGTGGGCTGGACCTACAGACTCACCGAGTGTCTTTCCTTTGTGGGGTCTTCATTTCCTCGTCCATGAAGCAGGAAGAATACCTAATTTCCTCCCCTCCATGGTTAGAAGGGTGGCGAAAACCAGAGGTCAGTGTGTTCCTGGAAGGAGAGTGAGGTTAAGTGTGGTGAAGTCCAGTTTTTGTGTCCGTTTTTATTTCCATTTCCTGTGCTTTTGGAGTCATACATGTAAAGTCACCGCCCAGTCTGGTGCTGTGAAGTTTTCTCCCTGGCCTCTTCTAAGAGCTGCATAGTTTTCCTGCTTACATTCAGACCTTACATTCAGGATCCCTTTATGCCAGTTTTACACATGGTGTGTGGTGGGACCTGCTGTATTCTTTGCACATGGACGGAGGTCCAGTTGTTCCATACCATTTGCTGAAATGACTGTCCCTTCCCTCTCAGGGCTCCCAGCACTCTGGTTAAAACTCGTCTGTCCATGCACACACAGTTTATTTCCAGGCTCTCCATTATATTCTGCTGGCCTGTGTGTCTGCGTTTCAGCCAGTATGTCACTGTTGATTGTTCTAGTTTCACACTAAACTTTGAAATCAAGACATGTTAGATGTCTCACCACTGCATCCTTTCCAAGATTATTAAACATCAGTGAGATTTTGATAGAATTTGCCTTGACTATATAGATCACTATGGATAATTTTGCCATTTTACTAATATTAAAGCATCCAATCTATGCACATATGTTTTTACAGGTTTCTGTGATTTCTCTCACCAGTAATTTGTAGTTCTCAATGTACAAGTTTTTTTTTTTTTTTTTTTTTTTTAAATAATACTGCAAATAGAGTTGTTTTCATAATTTCCTACTTGGGTTCTTTACTGTTAGAGTACAGAAATATACTTGATTTTTATTGTAAACCCAAATAGTGAGTTCAGTTATCCAAGTATTATAATCCTGTTTCTAGTTTTCCTCACAATCCAAACTGTTATATCTGTAATCCCATTGAAACACTATTGGAATCATAGCAAGTTAATTCCAGTCTACCACCGCCAGTGCAACCCACACCAAGACATGTTCCAAGTTAAGGACAGCCAAGGGATTCCAAGTCCAGTCCTGGAGAGGACAAAGGCCTTGATCCCAGGCCTCTCCCAGCATTTATTCTCTTGTGAAGAAGGTGGGGTGGCTCAGGGATGAGTGATAGTGAGGATGTCCGGGATTACTGAGTGACTTGAGCTGGCTGACCAGGTGCAAGAATAGCATCTCTGTAATTTGCAGAGATAAAGATATGCAGAAGGATCAATTTACATAACCCAATTATGGTAGCAGTGGAATTGTTTCTGGGGGGTTATTGCTTCGGTTTCTGATATGCAAACTCTTGTGCCCTGGGGAGTCATAGCCTCTTATCTTGAGGCTATACCCCGTTGATATTTCTGGAGCTGTTTGCTGTAACATCTCGCCAGCTCAATCCTGTTGTGGAGAGCACCATTTGAGGAAGCAGGACTACCTGATGGCTATAGACTTTGCATAATAGCACCTCAGCTAGCCTTATTTGCAAAGCTCAGCGCCAATTGAAGAGAGAAGGAAATACCCTAGCCAGCCTTTTACATATCAGTATAAGGAAAAGAGTCTACAAGTATTCAAAGTCACAGCAATTATTTTGGATTCAAAGGGAGTCACTGGAGTTGTCTCCCACAATTTTGGTTTGTCAATTTTGTATTCTGTAATTTTGCCCCATTGCCTTTTTTTTTTTTTTTGGTACTGGAAACCAAACTCAGGACCTTGCACTTGCGGGGGGGGGGGGGGGCACTGAGCCACTGAGATAAATTCTCAGCCCTGTTCCAGTGCTCTTTAACTCACAGTTTTTCTTTTATTGAATCAATAGGATTCATCATAAAAGGTCATGTCATCTGCAACCAGAAATCTTTGTACTTCCTCCTTCTAATTTGGATGCCTTTTATTTTATTATTTTATTTTGTTTTGTTTTCCTACTACCAGTCTTCCCGTATGAATTGACTACACATGACCAGTAAATGCCTCTTTGTCTTATTCTTGATCTTAGGGGAAAAACTCAAGCCTGGCTGAGGATTTAGCTTAGCGGCATAAGTGCCTGCCTGGCAAGTGCATGGTCCTGAGTTTGATCTCCCGGTACCAGAAAAAAAAAAAAGAAAAGAAAAACTCAAGCCTGTCAACACTGAGTAGCATGGTAGCTATGGGGTTTTCATACATGGTCTTCCTTAAATTGAGAAAGTTTCCTTCTCTTTCGAATTTACTGCTTTTTATCATGAAAATGAGTTGAATTTTTTGAAAAATTTTCTCTAACAAAAGGAAACATCTACAATTTTATTAATTTGTAATAGTACGTGCATAACTATGAGCCTAACAGGAAAATATGGGCACCCCAAAAAGGAGTGAGATTGAAAAATATATACATATTGATAGAACTGTGGGGGACCAGCAGTGGCTGAAAAGATAAGAAGTATGAAATATAAATGACCTTTATTTTGAGAATGCGGGGAGAGACACCCCGGATCCCCTGGGGTGCAGCATCCCACCCCCCCCATGGCGATCTCTCTGTGGAATGGAGGCATATAAGTAGCCTAGGTTTGGGGTGGAACCTAAGGGGCATTAGTGATGCACAGGTAGCCCATTGGCACTCCTTTGGCACCAGAGGTAAATTCCTAGGGGTGGGGGAGATGAAGCTCCTTGGTTTGCCTGAGGCTTTACCGGCTACAGTGTCCTGTCTGGGCCAAAACTCTTTCACATATAGTGTCATAATAGGGGGGGAAGGGTAGGGAATATAGGTTAGTATAGAATAAAGAGTTTTTATTACTTTAAAAAGCACGTGAGTTGAAATTTATCACCTGCTTTTTTTTATGTACCAGTTGAGATGATTGTGTGGTATTTTCCTTCATTTGTTGATGTAATCTATTACATTGATTGTTTTTGTTTTGTTTTGTTTTGTTTTACACTGACTGTTTTTTTTTTTTTTTTTTTTACCGGTACCAGGGATCAAACTCACAACTGCCTGCTCACAAGGCAGGTGCTTATGCTGCTGAGCTAAATCCCCAGCCCACACTGACTGTTTTTTAATGCTGAATCATTTTTGCATATCAACAGAATGCAATCCACTTGGTCACATTGTGTAATTCTGTTAGTGTGCTGTTGAATTCTCTTGTGAGTTTTTGACTGAGACTTTTTGTACCAGCATTCACAGAGAACACTGCGTGGTCTGTAGTATTCTTTTTTAGTAGTATCTTTACCTGGTTTTACTGTCAGGGGAATGCTAGCCTCATAAAATAGGAAGAATTTCCTCCTCATTTCTTGAGAAGAATTGGAGAAGGGTTGATGCTAACTCTTCCATAAATATCTGGTAAAATTTGCTAATGAAACTATGTGGCCCAAGAGTGCAGGTTTATTTTATTTTTTTGAGAGTTGCTAAGGATTAGAACCCAGAGCCCAGCATGTGCCAGGCAAGTGCGGTACCACCAAGCTATATTCCCAGGCCTTCACTGAGAGATTTTTAACTACAGCTTCAATCTCTTTACTTGTGGGCCTGTTACAGTTTACGGCTTCTCCATGACTTAGTCTTGGTAGTTTTGTATTTCTGGTAATCAGTCCGTTTCATCTAAATTATCCAGTTTGTTAAATGACCACTGACCTCCACTTGTCCATGTTACTCTTTTATAATCTTTATTATTTCTGTAAAATGTTATTTGTTTCATTCAATTTTGTAGCTTCATTTTTGATTTTAATAACTTGAGTCTTCCTCTTTACTAACCGGTCAATTTGGCTGAAAGGTGGTCAGTTTTGTAGATGTCTTTTTAAGAACCAATTTTGGGTTTTGTTGATTTTCCTTTTCACTTTTCTGCCCTCCATTTATCTCTGCTGTGATTTTTTTCCTTTTCTTTCTTTCATCTTTTTTTTTTTTTCTGCCATTTTGGCATTTGTTGGCTCTTCTTTCCTCATTCCTTAAAGTGTAAACTTGGGTTGTTGATTTGGGACCTTTCTTTGTAGCGTAAGCGCCTGCAGCTTCCTAATAGCTAGCAGCAGCTGTCAGGCGTTAACGCACAGCCCTCCCTGCTCCCCCGAAGCCTGGTGACAGTGTGCGTCCATTTCCATGGCTCCTGAGTTATCCCCTGATGTCCCTATGACTTGTCTTTGACTTACAGTTTGTTTACAGTGTGCTGCTCGTGGGCTGGGACAGTCCTTAGTGGTAGAATGCTCATGTGTGTGAAGCCCAGGGCCAAGTCCCCAGCACAGAAATGGATCAATCAATCCACTGATGTGTTTTAAGATTTTCATCTATTTGTGATCTTTGCAGTCTTCCTCCTGCTACTGTTTTCTAATTTCATTCCATTGAGCTCAGAATAATACAATGTTATGGTTTCAGTCTATTAAATTTATTATTTGTTTTGCGGCTCGACACATTGTCCCTTTTGGAGCTGTTCCATGGGTGTGTTTAGGAAAATGTCTGCTCTAACTTAGATGCATTCCGTTGTTGTTGTGGAGGTCCTCTAGTTCCTTATTAATTTGTTCAGTTTATCCATTGTCAAAAATGACACTGAAATCTCCAACTATTATTGCTGAGTTATCTATTTTTATCATTACTACTGTCAGTGTTTGCTTCACACATTTCATCTTTTTGAGACAGGGTCTCGAGATGCAGTGCAGGCTGGACTTGAGCTCACTTCGTTGGCAGTGTCACATGGTAGGTGCAA